TTAACACGCACCCAGAAAAGGACTATCGAACTAAATAACTAAGGACTGTCGAATTAACATTGGAAAACTTCATTGTAAACATCATTTTCAATATTTTCACACTTAGGAACGAAATTTGGCAAAACTAAGGACTATCGAATTAACATTGGAAACTTCATTGTAAACAACATTTTCAATATTTTCACACTTAGGGACGAAATTTGGCAAAACTAAGGACTATCGAATTAACATTGGAAAACTTCAGTGTAAACAACATTTTCAATATTTTTCACACTTAGGGACCGTACCTTGGAGAGAGCTACGTAGAGCTGACCGTGAGAAAACTGCAACCCCGACGGACAGACAAACATCCATCTTCCCAAATTACGTTACTCTAAGATGCACAGTATTTTATCTCACTGAAACCTTTTAGGATTGTGTTCTTATTAAGAGGGAATAGAAGGATATACTTTTAAATATCAGAATTTGTAATTATATCAATAGTTAACATAAAAACAACAACTTTATTTTATGTAGGTTTGCAGGAAACCGGAAGAAAAAAATCTAACGAACCATTTTCGTGGTATCGATGACTCGCTGTTAGGGCCAATAAAATAGGGGGCGGGAAGGCCACTTCGCCCGGGCCTCAAGCTCAGAGGAGGGGCCTTAAATTTAGACACTTGTTATAATTTTGCATTTTTAAAAATTTCGCGACGTCTTTTTTAAGCACAGAAAAAGGGTGGAAAAGCATTTATTAAATGTCAACCAATGTTGATAAATACATGTTAAATATATCAGATTTTTGACAGCCTTTTTTGTCTTCCTTTACCGATACATTTTCACATTGACCAAGTGTTAGTCAAACTTTGGACGTAATTTAACGGACCTAAATATTTTTTCCCTTTTCTCATTCTCTCCCCCCCCCCGATGTGACCTGCACCTTTATCAGTTCTGGATAGTTCAATTTCATTTGTCAAGAGTGTTTAATAAGAACATCTGGCACGAAAATGCTGGGGAAAAATTTGGAGTTATCAAGCCGTGTTCGAATCCGTGGGATACTACAAAATATTTCCTGCATCTTAAGCTGTAGATGCGTTATAAGAAAGACAGTTAGTTCCTTAGCGTGGATGGTGGGTGATAAGGATTTGTTGTCCGACTTCCTTTCGCTTGGTCAGTACAGTTCAAAACTAGTTTTGTTTGTTTGTAGTTATGCACAAAGCTACACAATGGGCTATCTGTGCTCTGCCCACCACGGGTATCGAAACCCGGTTTCTAGCGTTGTAAGTCCGCAGACATACCGCCGTGCCACTGGAGACGCAAAAGTAGGAACGGTGGCAGATAGTCTTAGTAGCTTTACTATAAATGAATAAAAAATGCAAGTTTTTGTAAAGGATCATACACATTAATAGACCCAACGTTTTTAGACACAAAATGTCACTGATCAGTGATTCAATGTAAAGAAAGACGACATGTAAGTACCGCTTCTCAACGACGTTGGTTCAAATTCCAGATGAACATAAGTGAGCATAATGTATACGTGCACGCAATTTCTAGGAGGTTCTAAGGGGATAATTTCAGTTCCTAGTGAATTCTGTATGGCGCCAGTCACGTGTAAATTACGGTCTCTATTTAAAAAAAAAAAAGTTGATAAAATGTTCACTTGTTTTAACCATTGATTGCTAATTGACTTTTTTATGGTTATTATTTTATTACTACTGGCTTATAAAATAAGTACAGATAGATCATTGAAAACACTCTGTAAATTAATACTTTTTTTTAACAAACAAATTATACACATTTTAGGTGATTTACTTTCTGGTTGTCCTCCGATAAATTTACGGACTTAGAACGCCAAAATCCAGGGTTCGATTCCCCACGGTGGACGCAGCAGGCAGCTTAATGTGACTGTGCTTTAAAACAAACAACGGTATTGTTCCGTTATACCCGCCCCTCCCCCTCCCCCACCGGTGGGACAGCGGTATGTCTGCGGACTTACAACGCTAGAAACAGGGTTTCGATACCCGTGGTGGGCAGATCACAGATAGCCCTTGTGTAGCTTTGTGCATAATTAAAAACAAACAAACAAACAAAACGTTATACCCGCCGCAAATGGTAAATTTTGACTGTGTGAATACAATTAATAATATTAATATATTTTTAGAAATTTATCATGGACATTTGTTATTTAATTTATGTATTATAATTATTATATAATCTATATATCATATAACGGAAGAGTACCCAAACAACCAATGAAATTTTTACGGTTTTATAGAAGTACCTGAATTAAATAATATTATGCAATACTGACTATGGGGCGTATTAAAGACAACAACGTCATTGTAAGTAATAATATTATTATATACAATTATATTTAATTTCTGTTACAACTTAATATATTTTGTTCATTGAAATGCCCTCTATGATAAAAACTTTAAACTAGATCTTCTATTACAGTGAAAAAGTCTAAGAATGAAAAAAAATAAAATACCAGATGTAGTTCCTCAATGAAGGACAAAATGAAATGTTTAACTTCTAATTAATTTTGTATTTTTACGTTTAAAAAACATACTTTCGCAGTAATAATAGGCATGTCCAGTGGTTAGAGGGCGCTCGACTCGCATTCTGAGGGTCGCGGGTTCGAAACCCCGTCACACCAAACATGTTCGGCCGTAGGACGTTATAATGTGACGGTCAACCCCACTATTCGTTGGTAAAAGAGTAGTCCAAGAGTTGGCGGTGGGTGGTGATGACTAGCTGCCTTTCCTCTAGTCTTACACTGCTAAATTAGGGACGGCTAGCGCAGATAGCCCTCGTGTAGCTTTGCGCGAAATTCAAAACAAACAAGCAGCAATAATAATAAAAAATTCATTTTATTGACCGGCGGGTGCACTCTATTTTTAGCTGCGACATATCGGCCGACAGAACGGCTCTGAGTTTTTTTTTTCAAGTACAAACTTTTAGCTTATATCTTCGTTATTTCTTGACCGATTTGAGGTCTAATTACAGTTTTGGTCTCAGGAGATCAAACCCTTTCGATTGATGTATTCGATCACGCCCAAGGTTTCATAGATTAATTTACTCTAATCCTGCATAAAGGAATTTCAATTTGAGGGTAAACTGATAGAGATCCTAATGAGTAATAAAATTGAATCGGTTATATGGGCGCCCCACGCTAGGTATTGCTGGCGCACAAAAATATAGCTAATAACAAGGAAAAAAAAGTATCATATATTAATTTATTCTAATCCTGCCTAAAATCATTTCAAATGCCGCGGCTATTGAGAATTTCCTCTTGTTTATTTCAAGAACTTATAAAAGTGGAAATTGAGGATTTCTTGCATTTATAATATTGATCCCTAGAAAGACTGAAAGATTGAAAATAAACAAAGCACAAGGACCAGGCATGTTTTTCTCATGGGTTTAAAGGAGGTCAAAGTTCAGACGCGCGAGTTTCTCATTTTCATGTTTGATAAGCCAATAAAAAGAGTGGGTAGGTGCCTGAGGCCTAGAATAGTTCATGTTAAATCAATTTTTAAAGGGGTGGGAGCGTTAAAAAAGAATTACTCTGGAAATTATAAGCCAGTAAGTCGAATGAGCGGCCCGACATGGCCAGGTGGTTAGGGCGCTCGACTCGTAATCTAAGGGTCGCGGGTTCGAATCCCCGTCACACCAAACATGCCAACCTCCGCCTTTGCCTGGTCCCAAGTCCAGGATGAGAAAGGAGGAGGATCGGGCGCGGGGCTAGCAACTCCACCCCGTAAAAAGTAACTGCAACAACAACTTTCCGTTGGTGAGGTGTTGTTACGGCCCTATGCTCCACTGGGAGTTTACAGGAATAATAAAAAAAAAGTCGAATGAGCAAGAGTTCGGTCCATTGAACATACTACAGGTGTGGAATGTACTCTATAACATACAACAGGTATGGAATGTACTCTGTGACACACAACAGGTATGGAATGTACTCTATAACACACAACAGGTATGGAATGTACTCTGTGACACACAACAGGTATGGAATGTACTCTGTGACACACAACAGGTATGGAATGTACTCTATAACACACAACAGGTATGGAATGTACTCTGTGACACACAACAGGTATGGAATGTACTATAAAACACACAACAGGTATGGAATGTACTCTATAACATACAACAGGTATGGAATGTACTCTGTAACACACAACAGGTATGGAATGTACTCTATAACATACAACAGGTATGGAATGTACTCTATAACATACAACAGGTATGGAATGTACTCTGTAACACACAACAGGTATGGAATGTACTCTATAACATACAACAGGTATGGAATGTACTCTGTAATACACAACAGGTATGGAATGTATTCTGTAACACACAACAGGTATGGAATGTATTCTGTAACACACAACAGGTATGGAATGTACTCTATAGAGTACATTCCATACCTGTTGTGTGTTGTAATACACAACAGGTATGGAATGTATTCTGTAACACACAACAGATATGGAATGTACTCTGTAATACACAACAGGTATGGAATGTACTCTGTAATACACAACAGGTATGGAATGTATTCTGTAACACACAACAGGTATGGAATTACTATAACACACAACAAGTATGTAATGTACTCTATAACATACATCAGGTGTGAATGTACTCTGTAACACACAACAGGTATGGAATGTACTCTGTAATACACAACAGGTATGGAATGTATTCTGTAACACACAACAGGTATGGAATTACTCTATAACACACAACAGGTATGGAATGTACTTTATAATACACAAGAACTATGTAATGTACTCTATAACATACTAGAGGTTTCAACAAGTCAGGTGTATGGATTTTATTTCAAATAATTACAAACTGTTATCACTTTTCAGACACAAATCTCGACAGCGAGGTCTCAATTAATTGAATAAATGGATTACTTTTTTTTCTGTTGGCTGTCACTCTGTTGGAAATAAGGAAAAGCGCCGATAAAAATGATAACAATATTTCATTACTGTTGTTGATGGACATACCTGAACTCGTGCCTCGCTGAGACTCACTTTCTTTGCCAGTTCTTCTCTGACGAAGGCGTCCGGATAGTGAGTTTTCTCAAACACCCTTTCCAAGGCACTTAACTGTTGAGCCGTGAACGTCGTCCGGTTACGGCGCGGTTTCTTTCGGCGTTGTTGGCTATGGTCCTCGCCGTCGAGACCGTCTTCTAGTCTCCGTCAAAAGAAAACAGTGCCGTGTTACAAAGTTAGAACGAGCCGAAAAAGATACAGATTACAAAAGCAATATTTTCTTGATATACTCGAAACTAAACCACAACTAAAACACTGAATAATGTCTCAAGGTAAGGAAAAACAAACTTAGTTATCTTTAAAAAAAAAAAAAAACCTCAGCATTATTCTCATATCTCATTCGATTTACGTCATAATTTCAAATTTTATCATAATCAGGAAGACAGTTATGTTGGCGATGAATGTTTAAGCATTCTTTGATAGATTGTTTAGGCAGAGCATTCACGGTGAAATTTAGATGAATGGACGACAACTGCCTGTTGTAGAAACACAAGTGTAGAGGACGACGAAAGGCGGAAGACCTTCGAAACGTCGTCCCTCTACACTGTTTATTTCAAAGCACAAAGTTACGCAATGGGCTATCTGTACTGTGCCCACCACGAGTATCGAAACCCGATAATACAGTTTTTTTTTTTTGTTAGAATCTTGTTAAAATCAACTAGGAATCAGAAGTATTATTATTTGTGGGCAAGGTCTCTAACACATCGGATTAAACCTTAAATAAACCATTGGATACTTTGCTTGAATGGGCTTACTAACAAAAAAGGTGGTTAGGGCACTCGACTCGCAATCTGAGGGTCGCGGGTTCGAATCCCCGTCACACCAAACATGTTTGCCCTTTCAGCCGTGGGGGGCGTTATAATGTGACAGTCAATCCCACTATTCGTTGGTAAAAGAGTAGCCCAAGAGTTGGCGGTGGGTGGTGATGACTAGTTGCCTTCCCTCTAGTCTTACACTGCTAAATTAGGGACGGCTAGCTCAGATAGCCCTCGTGTAGCTTTGCGCGAAACTCAAAAACAAAACTAACACAAAACAACGCCCT